TCATTTCAGTTTTGTCAGTAATGATCTATTTCATTATGAAATATGAGGCAAGGAGGCTGGGGAGACGGCTCAGCACTTAAGAACACTGGCTGCTCTTGCAGACGACCTTGGTTTGGCTCCCAGCACCCGACATGGCCCCTAACACTTGAGCAGAACTCCAGTTCCTGGGGAATCTCACACTTTTTTTCTGGCTTCTGCAGGCATCAGACACATGGTGCACTTATATGCATGCAGGCAAAACATACACATGAAATAAAAACTAAATAAAGTACTAAAAAAATATGGGACAGACTTGTCAAAAATAGACATTTTAACCATAAAAACCAAACAGCAAACACATGAACAAAACCAAGCTACTGCGGCTACTCCAGCTGCCCCTGTTGTGATTCCTAAAATGGCGCGGCTGGATCTGGACAAGTGTGTGGAGATGAGATAGCGCGGCTGGGCACATTTCTTCCCGAGGAAGACCTGAGGCGGCTGTGTGACTCTGACTGTGATCTTCTCTTGGAAGACTCAAATGTTCAGCCAGCATCAACACCAGTAACAGTGTGGGGACATACACGGACAGTTTCAACACCAGTAACAGTGTGGGGACATACAGGGACAGTTTCAACACCAGTAACAGTGTGGGGACATACAGGGACAGTTTCATGATCTTTGTGAATTATTCGGAACTGGAGGTCAGGGTCCTGACACAAACTACATATTTAGGGGTGATTTTGTAGACAGAGTTTGGAGCCTTTGACTTACCTTCTTGTACTGAGGGCTAAATGGCCTGATCGTATTGCACTTTTAAGAGGAAATCATGAGAGTAGACGGATAACACAGGTGTATGGATTTTATGACGAGTGCTAAACCAAATTGGAAGTGCTAATGCCTGGAGATACTGTACCAAAGTTTTTGACCTGCTCACAGTAGCAGCTTTAATAGATGAGCAGATTTTGTGTATTCAAGGCCGCTTACCTCCTGATATCAAAACACTGGATCAAATTCGAACCATTGAACGTAATCGGGAAATTCCTCATGAGGGAGCTTTCTGGGGAGCAGGTTGGCACTTTGGAGCAAAAGTCACAGATGAGTTTGTTCATATCAACAACCTAAAACTCATCTGCAGAGCACATCAGCTTGTGTACGAAGACTGTAAGATGATGCTTGACGAGAAGATGGTCGTAGTGTGGTCTGCTCCTAACTACTGCTACGGCTGTGGAAATATTGCTTCCATTACGGTCTTCAAAGATGTCAATACAAGAGAACCAAAGCTATTTCGGGCAGTTCCAGATTCAGAACCTGTTATTCCTCCCAGAACGACAATGCCATATTTCCTTTGAGGCCTTCGCCATCCTGCTGGCCCGTTTTTGCCCTCTTTCTTGTGTTACCCTTTACAACACACTTTCATTGAGTACTTTGCTGCTGAAATGCTGCCTACGGCCCTTTAAATTTTTAAAAAAGTATCTAAACTTATTGTTTGTTATGGTGTCTATAGCAATGTTTTTCTATCAATTTTGTCACCCATCCCATCCCCACTTTGGACTCATTTGAGAAGACTTGAGAGATGTTTTAATACTCACATTGATGCATGTTGCTCTTGCTCATTTACTGTTCTGGGGAGACAGGATGTGTTTCCTTTTTTAAAAAAGCCAATTGGAAATTACACCGAAATAATTCTTTGTATTATTCAGCCTTTTGTTTTAGTTTGGTAAGTTTTAAGAAATTTCAGCAGCAAAGTTGTTATTCAGCGGGCACGATGGACTGCAGATGCCTGAGTTATGTACACTTGTCCCAGCTGTGAACTTCATTATTCTTTGTTGGATGATATTTTAAAAGGATACAAAATGAATCGGCCTAAAGGGCTGCCCTCCTTGTTGTGTTTTTAAATTTTAGTTAAAAACTGCTACAGCTTATGACTTTGTACATTAAGATAATTGTATTGATCCTTTTTCAGATTTCTTGTATTTTATAATAAAGTAATCTTAAAACCCAGATAGGTTAAGTGTTAGAAATTTTAAACAGCTTACTTTGTTACCTGAAAGTCACTATTTTCCTTTTCTTTGTTTTAAATTTATTTTCTTAGGCCTCTTGACCCTTTGGTTATTGATCTAAAAGTTCAATTGAAATTCAATAGTATTTACTTTTTAAAAAATCACTAAACTGTGCCTAAAGAACATAACTGCCATACTAATGTTTTGATTTATGTCTTCTATAGTAATGGAAAAACATTTACTACTTGTAGTGCTGATATGTTGATTTATACCATTTCAGTAGAATGTGATCGATGCAGTTTACACTCTGTCATGAGTAGCATTAAGTAAATGTGAATTTTTCAAGAGGAAGCATTCTTCTCTTGCTATAACACCTGACCTTAACTTTTAAAAGTGTTCGGTTTTATCTGCAACTTCAAAGGTTGAAAAATCAGGACTCTTGATTGAGCTGTAATCTGAAGCAGATTATTTAAAGTGTGGAATGAAACAGAATGTCCTCTTTTGTCAAGTTCTGTGATACCATATTTCACTTTGTGCAAGTAATTTGAGTATCCAAAGATTGTGGTGATCACTTCTTGATATATAATTGTCCACTTAATAAGGACAAATGTTGTACTATCTCTTGCAATTGTGGTCATAGATGATGTTGGGATGTACCATTTTGTGAAGTTGTTGGTAACCCTTTACTACTGTAATTATTTTTTTTTTAATCATCCCAGGAAGTCTGTGAGAAGCTAACCAGTTAAAAAAGCATTTTAGTATCTGTTCAGGTAGTTTTAAAAAACATTTTCTCTTCAGGATAAGACTTTCCAGGTTACCTAAAAATGCAGTAAAAAAATCTTAATAGTCTAAAAAAAAAAAAAAGCCAACCAATGGCAAGAGCTCCCTCCCCAACAACAACAACAACGACAACAAAAACAAAACAAAACAACACACACACACACAAAACTAAAGCGGGAAAACAGCCCAGGATGGAATTATAATATTAATTTTTTTTCCATTTTTATTGATTTCTTTGTGTATTTCATACAGAACATACCAAACAATCTTATCTTTATACCTAAATCCCAAATGGCACCCTCCCATAGCCCCTCACCCCTGCACTGGGGCTCATATACTGTGTCATCCCTGTTACTGCCCACTGTATTGTCAGTGTCCCCAGCTGTTCCCCAGTGCTAGTCCATCGGCTGAGTCTAGTCAGCCTATCTAGAGACCCTTGTTTTAGGAAGATCAGCTCTTCTTCATCTAGTGTATTAATGTATTGCCTGCATGCGTGTAAGTGCACCCATGTCATGCAATGCCCACAAAGGTCAGAAGACGGTGTTCTTCTGGAGCTGGAGTTACAGACGGTTGTTAGCTGTCTGTCATGTGGGTGCTGGGAATTGAACCTGGGTCCACTGCAAGAGCAGCTGGTGCTCTAAACCACTGAGCCATCTCTCTAGCCCCCAGAATTACAATCTTAAGAAAATCCTATGGGACAGCAGAAATGTAAAGAGCCTCAGTTGTTATAAGTCCTATCACCGCAAGACACCACATGAATTGTCCTATACCTCGGCAAGCCACGTTCACAGAAATAATTCTTTAAAATTAACATTTAAAGCCTTAAAGTGCCTCTTCACTCATTTTTCCCTTTACCCATCTGTTTTCAAGTCTCCAAAGGGCATTGAAAAGCCCCAACTCTGATCTCATTTATTCTCTTGTAGTTTCTGTGTAGACCCCAATGACTCGTTCCACATAGCTCTTATATAAAAACACACGAATAATTTTTTTATTTTTTAATTCAAAATTTAAATCCAACATTTTCTTGAAAAAGTCTTGTAGTTACTTGTAGCCAAAACCCAAACAGAAACTCTACATTTTTTCATAATCAGAAATATTAAGAACTAACTTCTTCAACAGGAGAGTATTGACCAACCATGAACAGTATTGACCATACTTTATGAGTAAAGTAGAAGAATCAACACATCTCTTAAGCAGGAATGCCCTTAACAACACGCATACTGTTCAACCTGGGCTTAATATCCAAAATACTAAGGATAAATAAGATGCAGAAGGCTTAGAGATACCATAGTTCTTATCAACCAGCCAAAAGAATCTATGCATAAATTGTTAGTGAAATTAATAATAAAAATGTTGCTGGATATCAGATAAACAGGAATTATTTCTATATACTAGGAACAGTGAACAAAGTAAGTTTAGGATCTCGTAATTATTCTTATAACAATATAATCTTGTAACTACAATTACTATAACTTGAGAAGTAGGAAATTCTTGAGACTAGGAGTCAAAAATACACAAGAAAAATGAAATACTTGAACCAAAAAAACACTTGGTTGTTTTGGAATGAACCCCCCCCCCAAACAACTAAATAATCAATCAACCAAAAACTCCAAACAAGCCTCCAAACCACCCCCAAACTGTGACAATATAAATTATTTCATAATCTAATCGTCAAGAAGAAAAAAGAGAGTGCATGCTCATTGCTCTCAGTGATGTAGTGATGTTGCTTTATAAAGAACAAACAACTGTGTAATACAACTTGCTACAATCACCCCAAGGAAACTAGAACCTCCAAAAGTTAAAGGTTGAAGGTAAAAACATAGTCCCAAAGTAGGAGAGATTAGGGCCAAAGTCCATTAAACAAAAACTTTACACTATTAATTGCTAATGGCAAGTTAACTCGAGTAATTAATATTGGAGAGAAGAGGTGCAGGGGTAAAGGTGGATTTTTAAGGAAAAGTGCTGGAGCTGAATTTTGAGGCAAAATGGGGATGCAACTGTGTGACCGTGACTCTACAGAAAAGGGCATAAGCAGCCAACTCAAGGGCAGAAAGTAGATGACTTTATGGAGATGATCTTTCTTCTGGTCTTTCCATTCAGTCACGGGTCCAACATACTGCCATGCTGCCCATATAAAAACCAAGAATCTGTCATTCGAACCCTGCAGGTTGTGCAAATGCACATACAACGTCTTTGAAAAATGCCTTGCATGTAGTGAGGCAAGGGATTATGGGAAGGAACTCATTCATGGAACAGTCGCCTGCGGACCTTAAGCAGGCAGCTAAGAGGACGAGGACGGCATTGTGCTTGGCGACCCACAGGAGCCGGTGGCAGAAGATACAGTGGTGAGCTGGGTAAGGGGCTCAGCATGGAGCTGTCCAGGTCCCCGGTGGGCTGCGGAGCCCAACTCTCTGCACTAGAGGAGGATGATGGAGGCGAGGGCTCTGGGACTTGGTAAGACCAAGGCATGGTCGCCCTTGTGGAAGGAAGGAACTCCGCTGCAGGGCCGGTTGGAGCATCCACCCAGGGCGCCAAGATGCCTGGGTCCGCGTCCCAATCACTGGCGTCCTCTTGGCAGGCGATGTCTAGGACCGACTCCCAGGATTCCTCCTCCATGACGACGAGGTGGTCCCGGGGCATCAGGATGCCTGGGTCCGCGTCCCAATCACTGGCGTCCTCTTGGCAGGCGATGTCTGGGACCGACTCCCAGGATTCCTCCTCCATGACGACGAGGTGGTCCTGGGGCATCAGGATGCCTGGGTCCGCGTCCCAATCACTGGCGTCCTCTTGGCAGGCGATGTCTGGGACCGACTCCCAGGATTCCTCCTCCATGACGACGAGGTGGTCCTGGGGCGTGTCCAGGGGAGCTGTCACCTGCAGGCCGGCGGGCGCGTGTTCCAGCCGTCCAGGGCTTGGGTGGGCGCAGCTCAGGAGGCCCTCGGGGACCAGGATGACGGTGTGTCCTTGCAGCGACACTTGCAGGAGCGAGGTGGGCTTGGGCTGCAGCAGCAGGTCGACGCCGTCCAGGGCGCAGCCGGAGGCCAGGAGCACCACGGAGGTGGAGGGGAGCGCGGCGCTGGTGGGCCCCGCGGGGGCTTCCAGGCCGGGCGTTGGCAGGGCTTCGGGGCCTGCGGGCTGGTGGAGGCGGCGGCGCTTGGCAGGACCCGGTGCTTCGGGCTGCGGTGTCCAGGAGGGCGCGGGTTCGGCGCTGGGGCTGCGGGGCCGGACCCCCAGCATGTGAACGGCGCTGCGGGCCTGGGGAGGAGCGCAACTGGCGAGGCTCGTGGTGCCCTGTGCCCAACAGGCGGTGTAGGCCGCAGGCAGGTGGTGTAGGCTGCAGCAGGCGGTGTAGGCCGCAGTCCTGCTGGGTCGAGCCGTTGGGTATGCGCAGCCTTCGTGACGCACAGCCGGTTGCACGCTGGACGCCAGTTGTCTTTCCGGATGCGCCGGAAAGCGAAGTCGTGAAACGTCTCACTAGGGGCTCTCCCTCGAGGCTCCGCCCAGGAGTGTCAGATTGACCAATAGCCAAGGCTGTAGTTGAGAAATACTCTTGTGGCCAATAGGGGGCAGAATAACTGGTGTATGGTATTTTTTGGGGAGAGTGGGCAGCCATACTTGGAATCGAATTTGAAGATGGCTAATCTTTAGAACTCCTGTATTCCACTGTTTCAGGAATTCTAAAGACCGATGGAAAAAGACATTCCCTCTGCCCAGACCCCCACAAAAATCAGCTCTCTTAAGTCTCACATGAAGTTCCTTTAGTTTTTTTTTTTTCTTTGAGACAGGGTCTCCCTACAGTCCCAGCTGGCGCGGAACTCACTATGTAGACCAGGCTGGCCTTGAACTCACAGAGGTCCACCTGCCTCTGCCTCCTTAGTGCTGGGATTAAAGGTGTGTGCCACCACGCCCACGGTAGTTTTTCAAAGAAATTGTCACTATGTAGCCAAGACCACGTATCTTTTGGTACAAACTGTAATCTCAGCATTTTGAAAGCTAAAGCAGGTGAATTTCAAGTTTGAGTTCAGCATGGCTTACATACTGGAATCTATTACACAAAACGAAGACGTGGAATAATAATATTTTTACTGAGTATTGAGAGTTTCTGAGTGTACTGCTTCACCAGCTGAATTCACTGCTGGTGATCAAACCTAGGGCTTCATGCACGCTAATCGAGGATTCCACCCCCGCCCCCCGGCCCCCCGCACGCAAAAAAGTTCCTGAAATAGATTTTCCCTAGCTCTAGAAAAAGTGATTTAAAATACTGAAGTGAGGCTGGCAGCGGGGCAGTACTAGTGGTGGTGGTGGTGCAGGTGTACGCCTTTATTCCCAGCACTCTGGAGGCAGATCTCCTGAGTTCAAAGCCAGCCTGGTCTCTGTAGCACGTTTCTGACCAGTCAGAGCTACATACTGAGATGCTCCCCTGAAACGGAAAACAAAACAAAATACAAAAAGACCTGCAGTGAAACATTTGTGATAGGGGCTTCTGAAGATCAAGGGATGTAATAAAATTGTTAACGATAGGCCCACTGCTGATGCCCACCTATAATCCGGTCACTCGGGAGGTAAAGCAGAGGCAGGAGGATTAGGAGTTCCATGCCTGCCTTGCCTTCATAGAGAAGAAAGGTTGGTCTGAGCTACATGAGGCCTTGTTTTAAAAAAAAGAAAAGTGTCATTTATAGCAGTAAAAATGAAAACAATATCAGTATAATTAAAAAATTTAATTTATGATGTATATGTTCCACATTCTTCGTAGCATTTTAATGTTTTTGTGTTCTTTTTATGTTTTGTTTTTTTATTTTTTAAAAAATTAAAGCTTATTTTTATGTTATGTGTTTTATGAATGTTTTGTCTTTATGTATGTAAGTGTACCCATGGTGTGCAATGTGTGTGGAGGCCAGAACAGGGAATTGGAACCTCTAGAATTAGAGGTACTGATGGTTGTTAGCTGTGATGTGAGTTCTGGGAACCAAACCCAGGTCTTCTGCAAGAGCATCCAGTACTCTTAACTGATGAGTCATTTCTCTAGCCTTGGTTTTTGTTTTTGAAACAGAGCCTCCCATCCTCAAACTGGCTATATAAAGGAGAATGAGCTTGAACTTCTGATCTTCCTGTCTGTGACTCCAGAGTGCTGGGATAACAGGGGTGCAACACTACACCCGGTATATTCTGTGCTGACTTTTGAACTCAGGGCTTCTTTTATTCTAGATGTGTTTTCTACAACTGAACAACATTCCTATTCCAATTGAGAATTAAAATATATATATGTGTGTGTATAT